AACCATCAAATCCGGGGCACAAAAGACGCAAACAGGGTAATTTCGGGTTTTGTGGGCTAATTCGGATTCAACTCTGGTACACAAATATTCACCCGTACAGTCCTCCTCTCCGCGTCTTTCTGTGTGATGCATGTGCATTAATGCGCGGACTATAACGCAAGTGGCAGTAAGATATACGAGAGAGTAATTTCTATGCCTCAGAATTGATGGGCACACGGCTCGATATCATACGATATCGGGGCCTTATGTGGTTCACCATTCTTGGTCCCGGGGCTTAGGTTACCGGTTTCCATCACTGAACAGCAGGTCCTCGTNCTGTTCATCATACGATGTATAATTAAAAAAATAATTGCAGCGTTTGCCCTTCGGCTATGGTCAAATGGTTGAGGTCATAAGCCCAGCGGTCCTGTAAATAAATCCCACCACCGTCACCCACCTTCCTCACTTGTGTTTCATCAAACAATCTTTGTTTGGCCACAACTCTCTTCCTGAAAGTTGATTCACACTTTTAAATAAAAAAGAATTTAAAAACTATTATCATTATTATTATGTTTTCCCATCAGGCAGTAGTAGCGACGCCCTCGAAACTCTCTGTTAGCTTAAACAGATTCACTGTAGACATCGTTAGTCCCGTCATTCAACTGAGCTTTCGGGCAACGCCACAGTCTTCGTAGTTTACGTCTCAGTGGTCAGATCGGAGTTATGTGCGCGTCGTTTTCTTTCACTGTACCTCGTTCAATTGAACTCTCTATTGCTAGGTACTCTCAAGTAAGAGTAGATGTACCCAAACTAAACAGAATCAGATGTGGTTAGGTTATGCTCCGTTAAAACACTGCAAAAATAACCGGGTTAACTTTAGCTTTCCCACAATGCCGTCAGTTTATGATAATACTAAGAAAGTATGATCAAACCGGTCATTAGAACTGTTCCCGGGAACTGATTTGAATTGTACAAACCTACCCTGAGTTATCAGCATCTAAGGGAGCTAAAACTACATTTTACCAAGTGTTTCACGAAGAGAGATAAGAACTTGTCCTTCGACATCCTACCCAGTAGTGGACACAAGTGTGATGAAACTAGATTGTAGATGGTTGCTACCCGGACCCCCGAACTCCTTCCGACGGGCTGCGAGCTCCTAATAAATTGCGAACTACAAAGATCGCCTGGCCATCTAATGGACTGAATGGTTCAATTGAAAACCCTTGAGATCCTATTCGTGCTACGATTTAAGTGACCGAATAATTCATCAGCTCGTTATTTGAAATGGATGTCCATTGTCTCTTCCAATGCCTTCCCGCGCACAATTTATTGATACTGTCTCTATTTTGAAACCATTAACTGAATTTGTCGAAGTCCAGTTGTTTGAACAGACTTCTACGAAGCTCTTCCTCTATTTCAATATCTAACCAATTAATTGATTTAATCATCCAATGTAATGTGCTAATGCGCATGTTCCTGCACCGATGCTCATTAAACCGCGTACATCAAAAACTTTTATTCGTTCATTGGTAAAGTAATTTTCATAGCCACCGGTAGCCTATATTTCGGTCGCTTTATGATGACGTACATCTTTTCGTTGGAATCTTTCCTTCTAGTTATCACATTACCAATCGTCTTTTGGAAGAACGGAATATATCCGTTTGATTATTACTACTACGATCGTGAGTCGCATTCTGCTCATCTCCACGCGTTGCTTATTCTTCTCTACCGCCCCCCCCNCCCTGTGCTCGCATGATCTGCTCCCAATCAGCGATCTGATCGCACACGTTCGTCGACTTCGATCGTATGTGGCCAAATTCCTCTACCGGGATGACAAATCTACTCCGCTCCCGTTGTTCGTTCGTTCTCCTCATACCAAATCCAGTCATTCGATCAAATCGGCCACGCAGGCTGCAACTGCTGCGGCCGGTGGAACCAGTTTGCTCATTGTCACCTTCATGATTCTCGGCTGGACAGCCACCGTACCTGTATCGCCGGCCAAGAATGGATCCTCACCGGGATTAGCTGTAGCACAACCTAATGGTGTGTTCAGCTTTTTCCCCGGTAAGTTTCGTCCCCGTGAAACCGTGTTAAATAAGAGATTAAGGTTGATAACCCATACATGAAAATTATTGGTTGATTTGATGAAAAACGACTGTTTTTGAAATGTGAAAAGAAGCCTTAAAATGTTCTCCTGATTGAGTATCAGGTGGCAATTGGTACTTGTTTTTATTCATTGAATATTCCCATCGTGACATTAAGAAAACACTGTAGTGAACAAAGCTGGTTTCCTGGCTGATACGGTTATATATGGGGTTCAAAATTGTCAAATTAGTGTAATGATCAGATGTGATGCATATGATTGGTTGATTGTGATCTTAGGATGTATGGTTTGGAAATGAGAGGTCAGTTTTGTTGTTGTTGTGGTTCGGAAGTGTTCACAGTCGGTGGATAGAATGAGCTGTTCCATTTCCGGCCTACGCCCCTGGGTCATGAATAATGTCACTGTCGACTGTGTCAATTTGAGGCCAGGGTAAGCGAAGTGACTGAACGAATCGCTTCTTAGAACAACGGGACGGATTGAATAGACGAATTGCCACCACCTCGGCTGTAGCGAGGTGCCTTTGACGGACAGCTTTGGATGAGTTTGCTGGTATTGTATAGATCACCTTGAATGCGTCCTCGGTTGCCGGAAACGGAACAGCTCAGTCGATCCACCGGCAGTGAACATTTCCGAACCACACAACAAAAACAAAATGCTGTCCCTTCATTTCCAAACCACATCACAATCAGCCAATCATATTAATCACATCGAACCATTACACTGGTATGACAGTTTTGAACTCTATTTGAAACTGTATTAGCTCGAGGAGAAAGCTATAGAAAACCGTGTTTTCTTAATTGTTTTTTAAAAATTGTTATACCATTACATCTGGTCTTCGGTAAAAGCAAAAGGAGTGTGCAGCATCCAGACTCTAACCGAAACTCCTCGATAGTAAGTTGTTTTTCAGCGGAAATCGTTTCGAAAACTGCACATAACTTCTCGAGGGTAGTGGGATTCACTTGCACTGTATTGAATTGTACAGGTGTTGACCAAACTCGTGCAACATCACCCTCATTTTGAAAATCCATTTCAGCTTGCAATAGCATACTTATATATAGATGGTTATTAGTACAGTGTGTTTATTCCTGACTTTATCTCCAACATCTAAGTTCTTAGTTCATTTCTATGATCATTTAAATGTGCGCGACCTTGAGTGTCGCTATAAAATTTGCAGTAGTTCGAAAGTTACAGCTCTGATTTGAAAAATACTTTGGGCAAAGTAGCGTGGGTGTTCATTCTTTTTAACAAATGATTTGTGTCCCATGAGGGTTTCTATTAGGTTGAGCACACGTATGCAAAATTTCTATTCTCTTCACATTCAGTGCACAGTAAATAAGCAAATTATTGAAAATATTCTAACTTAAATAAATTGCTAAATTATTAGGCTACAAACTAATCAAGCATCACCTGAAATACTGGAAGAACTGAAAACATAGTCCAAGAAAGACAC